ATTTTTATAAATATAGGTTAATCAAACCTAACCAATTTCCATTGTTCAATATACATGATCCAAATGTTTTCTCTCATAAAATATTGGGCTTTTTGTATACCAACTGGAAAATGTAGATTTAACTTAGGAAATGAATTTCTGTGTTATATGAATTGAGCACTCTAAGTAGAATAGGAAACACATTAATGAAATGATTTTTTTTATATGATGTAAGTCATATAGGAAGGAAAGTTTAACTCCCACTCTTTTCCTTTCAATTGTCCCATTTCCTCATGTTTTATCCATTACTCATGTCATGTTTTGTTATTAACCTAAATAATAAGACATCAATCTTGCCTGTTATATGAATATGTACAGATGATGGCCATATATAATTATTGGAATGATAATCATAAAAATAGTTTGAAATATGAATTAATATATCAATAATTTGGCAATGAAATAGATACTGCGTCATAGCATTTCTTCTACTGATGACTCGAATAGATGTGGAAACATTTATTCATTCATTCAACAATATTCATTGAGCGAACACCTGTATACCAGGCACTGACACAGGCACTCAGAAAGCACTAATACTGCCCTCTCAAGCATTTACTCTCCTGGAAAGAGACAAACAGGGCATACTGAGCGTATGACATGTCAACTTGTAATGAGTGATGCTGAAAACATTAAGGGGTCTCTGGAATGGAAGCCCATCAGCCAAAATGAGGGAAGCGGTCAGCCAAATATAAGGGAAACAACTGTGCCCAATGGAACAGAAGTTCACAAATCCAAAAGCGAGCAATGAGGAGGCCAGGTGGTAGGCATGGAGTGAACTCACGCAAGAGTAAAAGAGATGAAGTCAGAGGCAGCAGGCACCAGGCCACGTAGGCCTGGGTACATCATGTCAGAACAGTCTATGTTATTTAAGTAAGAGGGAACACAACTGAGCATTGAGGTTTCGCAAAGACTTTCCACAAACTCACTTAACCTCAAGAAGGAATGGAGGAGTTAAAGGATTATAATACAGGCATGCAATGATGGTAACTTGATTTGAATGATAGCAGTAGAGGTAATGAAATGGCAGCATAGTCTAGGCATATTTTGAAGGCAAGATAGCAGTTAGATAAGAGTTGATGTATCTATGAGGAGAAAGATGAGACTTTTTAGATTTTGAGCAATTTGAAGAATGGAAATACCAGGTCCTGGGAAAATGAAAATAGGAGTGGATTTGATTGAAGACAGGTGCAGGGAAGGAATAGAAGGATGAAAGATTGCTTGTAGAAATGAATTTAAGTTGGCTTTTTAAATATTTTTATTCTGAGATCAGCAGAGGTAGTGCATGTTCAGGGTGAGATGACCATAGACTTAAATTTTGTTTTTTGTTTTTTGTTTTTTTTTCAATTTGGTAGGACACAAATGAGCTCAAGGGAAAAGTTGAGACTGGGGCCTATAGCATTATTTCAGTCCCTGTGATTCAGGACCACCAAGGAGATTACAGGAGGTGGAGCCACCAAGAATCTCAGGACTGGGCCTTGGAATAGCCCATGCTGGAAGAAGCTGGTCTTTTGGCAATTCAGATATTTAATTTTGTTGTCCCTGAGGCTATCACCCACAGCTTTGTATTCCTTAACACCCTTGTTGTCCAGGGTGAGCGATCAAATATTTGACAGATGGAAATACTTACAGGGCTAGGTACAACGGGTTTACCAAGAGAAAGGAAGAAAGAGCCTGGGAGGGCACCATCTGGCATCTTTCCCAAGTTCTCACTGTTCCTGCCCCCTGATAGAAGAATGACTTAGCCTACTTGTTGAATTCAGGAAACAGAACTGAGACTGGGAGACTCGGCAAATTCTGGGCTCTCACTTTCCTAAGGAATGGTCTTGGGTTCTAAGAAAAAGTTCCTAAAGGCAGGGAACTGATAAATTATCCCATCTAAAATCTCAATACATTGTTATGTGGCCTTTTGTGATTAGTTTATTTCACTTAGTTTACTGTTTTCAAGGTCCATCCATGTTGTAGCATCTGTTGGTTTTTCATCTCTTCTTAGGGCCAAATAATTTTCCGTGGTAAGGTATACCATATTTTGTTTATCCTTAACCAGCTGATAATTCCTTAACTTGTTTCCATCACTGGCAATTGTGAAAAATGCTAATATGGGCATTTGTGTACAAGTTTTTGTGTGGATATGGTTTCAGTTCTTAGGGGTATGTATAGTCATAAAGTAGAATTGCTAGATCAAATCGTCTCTGTTTCACTTCTTGAGGACCTCCTAGACTCTTTGGGAGGGGAGATGAGCCATTTCATATTCCCACCAACAGTGTATGATAGTTCCAATTTCTCCACAATTCTTGTTATTTATTTTATTCTATCAACCTATGGGTGTGAAGTAGTACCTCGCTAAGTTTTTTATATGCATTTTTCTGACAGATAAAAATGATAAGGCTCTCCTCTTGTGTTTCTTGGTCACCTGTATAGTTTCCTTTATGTCTTCTCCCACGACACACAAACAAATTTTTATTGTATTGGTTGGCCTTACTTTTTTTTTTTTTAAAGATTTGTTTATTTATTCATACAGAGCTCAGGTACAGGCCAGAGGTACAGGGGCAGTGAGAGGCTTCACCAGAGACAGAGTGGGGAGCAGAACAGGCAGATTGACAAAGCACACTGCTGAGGGGAGCAGCAGGTGGGTCAGGAGAGGTCTGCCAGCCATGTGGGTCAGCTCCAGGGTGGTGATAGAATTCACACTGAGATGGCTGTGGCCAGCTTGCAGTGCTGCATCCTAACCCGTTGTGCCACCAGGGAGGGCCCCAGCCGTACATTTTTAGCATTAACTTCAAGCCTTAAGTTGAACAAGAATATCAGTAAGAACACAAAATCAGGATCAATTTGATCTGATTGACATTTTTGAAAATCTAAACTCAACTACTACAGAACACATTTTCTTTTACACATGTATATAAATATTTACAAAACAGAACACCTACTGGAGCATGAAACAAGCCTCAATACATTTCAAAAGACTAAAATCACATAGAAATTGTCACTAATCACAACAGAAGTGAACTAGAAACCAATAACAGAAAGATAACCAAAGATTTGAGGAAAGGAGTCACAATGGAAATTGGAAAATATTTTCAAATAAATAATAATAAAGCACAATATATCAATATTCATAGAATGCACTAAAATAGTATTTGATGGGAAATAGGTGGTTTAAACACTCATGGGGGGGGGGGTAGATTTTAAGTTTCCTTCTAAAGAAGCAAAAAAAGCAATTACATCCAGAAGTTAGAGATAAAGTAATAAAGAAAACAGGAGAGAAAGTATGAAATAGGAGACCAAAAAAAAAGAAACAGGGAAAAAAGCAAGCCCAACTTGCTTTGAAAACATTAACAAAACTGATGAAACTAACAAGTGCAGTGAGCATATACACATATTGAGGTAGGAAGCTCTACTATGGAATTTTATACAGTGTGGTAAATTAATAAATTTTATCTAAAAAGATAATGAATACAAAACTCAAATTAACAAGGTGACTAGTAAAAAAAGAAAATACAACCACTGCCATCAGAAAGGAAAAATATGCCATCATAATAGATCCCTATTGACATTAAAAAGGATACTAAGGGCCCCTGGTGGCACAGCGGGTTACAGCACAGCACTAAGAAGCTAAAGCACTTCAGCATGAGTTCGATCCCCGCCCAGGAGGTGACCCACATGGCCCAGCAGACCTCTCCTGACCCACCTGCTGCTCCCCTCAGCAGTGTACTTCATCAGTCGGCCTGGTTCTGCTCCCCACTCTGTCTCTGGTGAATCCTCTCACCCTCCATATCTCTGGCCTGTACCCCAGCTCTGTATGCATAAATAAATACAATTCTTAGTTCCACAGAAAGCTCCAGACCCAAATGACTTCAACAGTAAATCCAATTATCGTTTAATGAAAAAGGTAAACCATTCATATACAAAACTTTTCAGAGAGAAGTGGAAGAACTAATAATTCCCAACTTGCTTTATGAACATGACCATAGTACCTAAACTTGACCAGGACATTACAAAACTTGTAGACCAATGTCCCTCATGAACAAAGACAGCACACACACACAAAAAAGTCTTCAATCAAAATATTAACAAATCAAAACTATCAATACATAAAAAGTACACCAAATCCTAACTAAGTGGGATTATCCCTAGAGTGCAAGGTTGATAGAATTTCCAAAAACCATTGAAATAACTCACATCAAGAGAATAATTATCTCAACGAATGCCTTAAAGATATATACCTTTCATGATCTGACACCAAACTTAATGGTGTAAGACTTCGAATGCTTTCCCAGTCCAAGTGCATAGCTTAGAAAGCCAGCAAGAAAGAAAAGAAAGAGCAAATAAAGAAGGGGTGGACATGATTACAATCATCTGCTCAGACTCGAGGGCAGAAAGGAGGCGGAGAGGTGCGGCCCCTGAATGATCACAAGTGCATCGAGTTCATCTTCATTGATCTTTCCTGTTGCATAGGTATTCAGATTACCTTCTAAGAATGAAAGGTGACGGGGCAAAGTGCTAAGCCATCTGGATGAACAAGGTTGTAAAAAACTAATGTGACTTGGAACCAAAGGACTGTCAGGCGGCTTGAGTTGTCCTTCTGAGTCCAGAGGCTATAACCCTATCATGACACAGTCCTGCTCAGCGGCTCTGATAGCATACTTACCTGGCTGCTACAAGTAAAGGAAGAAAAGAGAGTTGTTGTGTGTGACAGGGAAAGCAGAAGAAAATAGTAAAGCATGAATTCACACTGGGAAGGAAAATCAGCAAGGAAGAGGATTCCTGAAAGCCTCACTCCACAGTCCTCTGACTGCCACGGTTTTCACTTAGGTCCACAACTAAGCAGCTACAAGAGGGGACCTTCCTGGCCAGGGAGCTGCCCACAGAGGGTGCAGCAGACTTCCGTCTCACCTGCTGCTCCCCTCAGCAGTGTACTTCAGTCAATCCCCACTCTGTCTCGGGTGAATCTTCTCACTCCCTGCACCAAAAGCTCTCACCCCAGTTCTTCTGCACCTGCATAAATAAATAAATAAATCTTTTAAGAAAATAAGCTGCTACGAAGGCTTTAACTGTTCTGCCTTTCACCTTGTGCACCTTTACCCAAAACTCTGTTCCTGTCCATTCTCCACCCTGCAGCCAGAATAAGCTGGAGTACTCATCACATTAGTCCTCTATTGAAAATTCAGTCACTGTCTATTTATCCCATTGCCTAAAAATCGCAGACCACTGTGTGCTGTATACAAGTATTCTGTGCAATAGGGAAAGCCAAATCATGTAGAAAAACATTTCCAGTAGTGTCAAATCAGATACGCTTGCAGCTGATGTCAACACCCCTCTCTGCTTACACAGGGAGAGCAAAGTGGCCTCTGTGGTGATGTGATTCCATGCATATCGCCAACAAAGGATTTTGCTGGCATCATTCCCTAGAAGATTCTCTTTTCCTTTGACTCTTCTACCACTCCCACCATTGCTTCGGAAAGCCTCTGCTGACCATACTGGTTAGAAATGACTGCCGCACACCTTCCACTTAGCCCTTATTTTCTTCCTTATTGTGGTTTTTGCTAATATATAAGAAACTGGCATTTTTTGAATGTCTATATGACAAGTGTGTAAGGTGATTTCATTCAGAAGATTCTTGTTGCATCTTCTTAATTAGATTGTATCATATATGATTCAATTATATTGAATATCATCAAATTCCATGTAGGGATAATGATAGCATGCATTGTATTTACTTTGAGTATATTTTGCAGAATTTTCTTCAAAACCTCCAATTATTTTTTCTTCAAAAACTCCACTTACTTATTTTAGCACTGATGGTAAGTGGTGGGAGTGATTTAATATTATGTTAAACTTTTGATGGGTCATTTTTTAATTTAATTTATTTTACTTACTTGTTTAGGAGGCATGTGAGTGGTTTGGCATTATACAATGGCTCTGGCCATCTGAGTTTCTAACACAGCTGTATTAGCAGTGTCCCTTCAGGTTGCATAGATGAGCAGAACACAGAAAGGCTCTAAATAAATGGGTAACCTTTAACAACCCCCTTTCTTTTCCTTAATGCACAGATAATACCAGATGGATACACTAACCACACCCCCAACCTAATTTTTTGACCTCTCCAGAAATCCTAGGATAACTGTATAAAATCCTCACTGAGAGCCTCAGAATCTGGGCATCTTTCCCAGAATTATCTAGAGGTTGTTCCAGGTTCAAGTCCTCACTCTTGATTCTTTAATAAAGTTATTTATTTTGTTTGTCTTGATTTATTTAAGCTGACATCATGGAACTGAGGATTAAAAAGTTGTAGAATTTATGGGGAAAACTGAACTCATAATAATAGCTAATAAGAGGTTGAGATGAGACTGAACAAACTATGGAGGACTAACATAATTTTAATGTCTTTTTGGCTTAAAATAACACTGGTTCTTCATGTTTTGCTTTTTTCACATTCAAAACTTTCACTTTTTAACCTGTGAACTGAACTGGATCCTGAATTTCTCTAATGTCTGGATATAACTTTCTAAATCTACATTTGTTTCCAATTTTTTCTTCTCTTGCTCCCAATCTTTTAACTTAGATTGATTAAAACCCTGACTATCCTTTCCTAAAACCACATGAGCTGGAAGTTAAAAAGTAAAACTTGAGACTGATTTTGGAGAGGTCAACCCCACAGTTGTACATGGACAGAACTGAATGCAGCTACCTCTGCTAAATACCTGATAACAGTTAAAAATCTCAATAGGCCTCCTTGGTGGCACAAGGGATTAAGTCTCAGCACTATGAAGCTATCCAGGCACTGCGGCCTGAGTTCGATCCCTGGCCAGGGAGCTGACCCACATGATACAACAGACCTCTCCTGTCTTGCCTGCTGCTCCCCTCAGCGGTGTATTTCACTCAATCTGCCTCTTTTACTCCCCTCTCTGTCTCTGAAGAATCTTCTCACCTCCCATCACCACACCTCAGGTCTACCCCCCAGTTCTTATATGCATGAATAAATAAAATAAATCTTTTAAAAAAAACTTTTCTCAACAGGCTGCCCTTGCATTTCCTGGCTAAACTTGTGGTTTGCTTATGTTTGCACCAGATTTTTCCTTGGTTGGATTGGTTGTACTACCATTATTACTATAGTATTGTTACTGTCAACTCCCCTAGTTTGTAAATGTAAGAAATGACAGCCTAAGAAAATTAAGAAGCCCAGTTCATAGTAATCCAACTCCCGGATTTCAACAGCACAAATGATAAATAACATTGTTTTCCAGATGATGTAATATGATCCGCCGAGAAGAGCAACAAAGGATTAATGCTCAGTGTATAATGGTTAGGAAGGGAGATGGAAGCCAGCACACCTGTTCAGGCGAAGTTTAGGTGAAAAAACACAAGAGGTAGCTCATGTATTCTGTGTACCCAATTTTCCATATAAAACATTACTCAACCCATCCAGCAGTCCTGTGAAATGCCTCTATTTTAGTGGCAAAAAAATGAACCCTGATAGGGTCATGCAACTCATTGTAAGCGGTAGAGTTATCAGTCTAACCTAAGGGTGTTGCCTCCAAAGCCTCTCAGCCTTGTACCCTGACAAGCTGCCCAAGGAGTCTGCCATGCTGGCAACTTCAGGACCCTGCCTGTGCTGATAGGCTGGAGGCTCAGTAAACTTATGACTTTGTTCTTGCAATCACTCAAATGTTCCACAGGTATTTAGTGAGCAGCTACTACTACCAGATACTGTTCAATTAGCTGAAGCTACACTAGTGAACAAAAATGACAAAAATCTTGGCCTTGGTGGTATATACATTCTAAAAGGAACAATAAGGAAAGCTTTTCTTTTTTTTTTTTTTTTTAATGTATATGGCAGGGCATGTAATGGCAAGGGCTACGGAGAAATAGAAAAGGAATGTGGGAAGTGGGAGGGGCTGCTATCATAAATTTTAAGATTGAGAAAATCCTCACAGGGGTGAAGGAGGGAATCATTTACTTATCTAGAGGGAGAACAATGTAGGCAGAGGAATCCAGGCAGAAGGCACTGGGACATGGGGTGTTAAGAGCAATGACTAAGCTAGCACTAGGGCTGAACATATGTGCACCTTCTCCAGATTCAAATGTTAAAGTCACTAACCACCAATGTGGCTGTATTTGAGAAAGGAAGCCAGTAACATTAAGTGAGGTCATAGGGGTGGGGTTGTGAATCTGATAGGATTCCCATCAGTTTGAGCTCGACCCCACAGAACTCAGTCACTGGCATTCTCTCTCCCTGGCACACGTCCAGAGAAAAGGCCCCATGAGGACCCAGGACGAAGGAAAAGACATCTCAACAGAAACTGATCCTGCAGGATCTTGGTCCATAACTTCAAACTTCTAGAGTTATGAGAAAATAAATGTGCTGTTTCAGTACCCCAGCTATACTACTGTGGCATGGCAGCCGCGTTAAACTAACATAGTGAGCGCAGAAGAGAGACAGAAGAGGGACCCAAGAAGTGGATGTGGAAAGGTCTGTTTGGGCAGAATAAGTGGCCGGCCTGGTTCTCTATAACCACTTGGGTTTCACTTTCAGTGAAAGGGGCTCCCAGCGGCGGGTTTTGAGCATGCCATGACTTACTTCACATTTTTAACAGGGTTCTCGGGCTACTGTGTTGGGAACATGTTGTCAGGGGATGCGCAGAGATAACAAGGAAACTACCTAAGAGGTTATTACAGTAACACAAGTGGGCCGGGGTAGCAGTAATGAAGAAATGGTCAGTTTGCAAATAAGTTTTTCAAACGTGCATAAAACATAAATACACGTCACCATCATAAAGCAAATACCCATGTAGCACCCCACAGGTTAATGACATACAAGCAGGACCCCAAATAGCTCATAATAGATAACTTCTTACCAAACACAAACTTCTTCCCCTTGTAAATGACCTGCCTTTTATAATAATCATTTCCTCACCCTTCTTTCCTGTTTTGAACTTTATATAAATAGAATGACTCTGTGTGTACTCTTGTGTCTTGACTTTTCTTATGTTTAAGAAATTCAACCATGTTACAGGGGGCTGCAGCAGCTCCATTTTAATCGCTCCACAGTACTGGGCTGCCCAAACAACAGCTCAGGGTACTTACTCTATTGTTCATTTATTCTACTGCTCTACTGACATTTGGGTGGTTTTGAATTTTGAATTTGAATTTTGAATGATCATGAATGTTCCTTGTCTATTCTTGTCTTTGTCTCCTGATACACAAATGTGTACACTTCTCTTATATACACCCAGGAGTAAAACTGTTAAGGTCATGGAATATGATGTCTTCAGCTTTAGCAGATAATGCCAACCTCTTCTCCCAAATTCTCACAATTTACCTTGTAGTGCTTGAGTTCCAGTTGCTCTAGCATTTCAGCATTTGGGATTTCAGTTGTTTCCATTTTAGCGTTTCTGATATAAGATGTGCTCCATTATGGTTTGAATTTACAATTTTCTATTAATGAGGTTGCTCCTTTTTCCACAGGTTTATCAGTACCCTGAATATCTCTCTGGGGGAGTACCCATTCAAGTCTTTTGACCAATTTTTCTATTAGGTTCTCTGCTTTTTATTTTTTAATGAATTTTCAGGACATAAATCATTCATTGGTTATATGTGTAGTAAATATCTTTCCTATTCCGTGGCTCATATTTCACTCCATGGTGTCTTTTAATGAAGAGATTGTAAGTTTAAGGTTGCAAAATATAGTCATATTTTTCTCTAGCTATAGCTTGAGAAAGAACATCTTCCCTACCATGTGGTCAGGTAGTCTTCTATATTACATTCTAGAATATGGTGCTGCCTTTCATAACAAGGTGTTAAATCTACCTGACATTGATTTTTATGAGCGAAGTGAAGAGGAGTCTGTTCTCCCCCACTTCGGTTTTCCCCCTTACTGTGTCCTCAAGGTTTACTCTTTTGTCCTACCCCTATGATAAAGTTCATCCCCAATGATGGACGGCACAACCTCTACCAAATATCAAGTGTTAATCTACATGGGCATCTGTTTCTGTACTGTTCATTCTGTTCAACTGTCTATCTCTGCTTCAGTGCCACATTGACATGATTATTTGTCAACTAGAGAATTACTGGAGGATTAATAGTTCTCTATTAGTCTCATGGAACAAGTCCTGCAACTTTTTCTTTGTCTTCAAGAGTCTTTAGGCTTTCCTATATCCATTTACACTTAGAACAATGTTAAGTTCCACAAAGTTGAGATGTGATTGGAACTGGAAATTACATGTATTTGGTAAATCAGTTTTGGGGAGAATTGTCACCTTAACCAAATTGAATCTTCTAAACTGTGAGTATAGAAATCTCTCCTTTAAAACAAATCTTGTTGGCCCTCCCTGGTGGTGCAGTGGGTTAAAGCACAGCACTAAGAAGCTAAAGTCACTTCAGCATAAGTTCAATCCCCGCCCGGGGGGTCATACACATGGCACGGCAGACCTCTCCCGACCCGCCCGCTGCTCCCCTCAACAGTGTACTTCGTTGATCTGCCTGTCCTGCTCCCCACTCTGTTCTGGTGAATCCTCTCACTGCCCCTGCACCTCTGGCCTGTACTCCAGTTCTGTATGCACAAATAAATAAATCTTTAAAAAAGAAAGAAGAAAAATAAACACATCTTCTTTAATATCAGAAGCAATTTATCTTCTTTAAGCAGACTTGCACTAGAAATTTAAAGAAGACTTTTTTTTTTTTAAAGATTTATTTATTTGTACATACAGAACTGGGGTACAGGCCAGAGGCTCAGGGGCGGTGAGAGGCTTCACCAGAGACAGAGTGGGGAGCAAAACAGGTAGATCAACGAAGTACACTGCTGAGGGCAGCAGCGGGCGGGTCAGGAGAGGTCTGCCACGCCATGTGGTCACCTCCGGGGCAGGCGGGAATCGAATGCGGAAGTGGCTTTTTAGCTTCTCAGTGCTGTGCTTTAACCCGCTGCGCCACCAGGGAGGGCCCTAAAGAAGACTTTTACTAGATTTACCCCTAGACTCATAATATTTTGCCCCCTCACAGAACAGCGGTGTTGGGAGCAGCACAGGATGGGGAAAGATTTCTCAAAGCCCAGGTGTGTTGGAGCCTCGCGGGGCTACCCCGGGCAGTCATGTGCAGCCCCGATCCCAAAGCAGTCCTGCCTCCATTAGAATCAAGCACAAAGGTGGGGCAAGTACGAGGTCATGTACATGAATGTGGGGGTGCATTATTGAGGATGTAAGCTAGGGTGGAGGGACAAAGGTCTACGGCCTAGGGGGGCCCATTGTATCAAAGCATTTTCTCTTTATTCTCTGTGCTTACCTAGTGTTCAGCTCATCTTTTCAGGTAAGGTATTTCAGCTGATCTTGCTAATCCGGCCATAACATCTGCCAGCTGTTTTCAGCAAATGCCAGTTTCCCAGCATGTTCCTCATACCAAGATCCTCTGCTTGGGGAGAGGCCTCCTGCCTGGCTGTATACCTAGCTGGCCAAGACAACAGCCTGCAGAACAAGGAGGCTGGGGATTCCATAATATTTTATGCCAAAAAGTGGTACCTTTAAGACTTTTACTTTTTGTTCATTGCTGGGAAATAGATGGAAGGAATCAATATTTGTAAGTTGATGTTTCTATTCAAAAACGTTATCTAATTCTCTCATTTTTTCCAACAGCTTATCAGGAAGACCTGTCACTGGAGCTTATATTATCTTCAATGACAACTTGTTTCTGATGCTGTAGTCCTTAGACTTCTTATTTCTTTCTTTTTCTGACTCAGACTTTTAGGAAAGCACTGACTCCAGCAGTGATTGAATTTTGGATTTATATTTTAAATGTAGAGCTAACAGGATTTGCTGACAGAGCATATTAGGCTATGAGAGGAATCGAGGTTGAGTTCAAGATTTTGGCCTGAACAACTGGGAGAATGGCATTGCCATTTACTGCAGACAAGGCCAGAGCTTTGCCAATCATGTAGTAGGTAATTAACTGAAGAAAGACAAAACCCGACTGCCAATGATCATAGCCAAATGATCTTTCTAACAGACTTTACCCTGTTTTTCCACTTTTGAAAGAATTCACTCCTGTGAGGAATCAAATGTTTCAAGCTGTCAGTGGGGGTTACTACTGGCCTCCTTTCAGCCACTGCCCCCTACAGGGGCTTGCCTGAATATAACCTGTGCATCCTGATTAAAACCAAATGGAAAAACTATCAGAAAATTTTCCCTTCGCTCTCAGTCTTCCTATTCCCGATACATACAGGCGCGCACACACTCACACCCATCTTGTTTTGGGTTAATTAGATCAATAAGAGAACCTACCTAGGAAAGGTGGTCCTGCCGTTCACTCACAAGTAGCATGTCTGGAGAGGAGCTAGAAAGGCCAGCTGCATTGCGGTTGACCTATGAATGATGAAGGAACAACAAAGGTTAGCCCTGCAGAATAGACCTTGGGTCACACAAAAGGCCTCATCGTCCTACCTGGAATGCCAACTTTATCACATGGTTCTCAGGGCATCAGTAAAGCCTTGAGTGTCTTTGAATGTAGAAGCAAAACTCTAAACAACTGGCACATTTAACAATCCAAAGCCTCATTGAAGCAGCCTAGTGTACCCACTCAGTTTACTGATGTTAATCAACACACAGGTAAGCTCTCTCATTGGAGTATGGCTGCCTCTTCCCTCTCCACTCCATCTGAAGATATAAGCTCCAAAATGGCAGCCCCCATTATCCTGTAAACTTCTGTCCTCTGTGTCCAAAAGAATGTCTGTCATATGTAGACATATATCAACTTTTTTGTGAGCTTGGCATTTTAATGACTTGTAAAAAAAATACTTAAGAGCTACATTTTCATTTGTCATAACTGAAAATCAACATTGTTTATTAAAACTGATGAGTCAAGAAACAGTGTAGTCACTCCATGGGGATAAATTTCCCATGAAACAGTTGATGGAGTTAAGAGCTTTTGCCTTTAGATGGAGTGAAACACTAGTAGGGAGAGGACTGTTGTCTTAAATACAGTTTCTCTTTATTTTTGTTGTTTACTTTATTGTTTATTTTTTGGTATTTATTTTGTTATTTCCTTTTATTTTTACTATTACCCTTGATGCTTTGCATATTAAAATTATACCGTCTCAACACCATAATACAGCTATTCATTTTTGTGTAAGAAATGCTCTCTTGACCCATACATCCACACATCGATGTAACACACATATAGCTGTACTCACAGCTATGTATTTTATAAGCGGCCTGTTCCCCCTCACTTAACCTGTTTCGTATCACAAGCATCTTTCGCTTCTACGGCCTTCATCATTGCCATGCTAGTGGCTGCATCACATCCCAGTGTGTTAAGGTGCCATAATTTACCTAGCTACCCTGGAGGGGAACATTCGGAGTTTCCATGTTTCCACTAAAAAATAATGCTGCAACGAAGACCTGCAGGAACGGAACTTGGTCTTGTTACTTTTCCTCCTTTGACTCGTAGCATGCAATCGTATTCTGGGGTGCCACTTAGGCCACCCCGACTCGGATTCAGGCAGTGTTGGCGTGACTCAGACCCTCCGACCGCGCGCCCGCGCGGCCGGGCCGCGCCTCCAACCAGGGGCGAGTCCCGGGCGGGGCCCCGCGGATCCCCGCCCCGCGCCGCGTCACCGTCGTCCCGCCCGGCTGAGACCAACACGCGGCGTGTGAGTGGCGGCTCCTCCGCCGGCCACCCGTGTGGACGCTGGGCGCGCGCAAGCGGGGCGCGCCCGCTATGGCTCCCTGGGCAGGGGCTGCGCTCTCCACGCTGAACCCGCTGCGCGCCCTGTGGCTCACGCTGACCGCCACCTTCCTGCTCGCCCTGCTTCTGCAGCTCGTGCCGCCCGGCCTGCTCCCCTGCAACGCGCTCTTCCAGGACCTGATCCGCTATGGGAAAACCAAGTGTGGGGGGCCGCGGCGCCCGGCCTTCTGCCGGGCCTTTGAAGTTCCCAAGAGGTAACCGCGCCCCGGCGCGAGCCGGCGTCGCCAAGACGCGGAGATCCCGGGGCGCCCCCCCCCCTCACGCCACCGGCAGGGGGCAGTAGAGGCGGGTGCGGGCCGCGACGAACCGGGCCCAGGCGGGTTCCCAGCGCGGCGCTGGTGGGCCCAGTCGCCGGGTTCTGCCCACGTCGGCCTCGTGGCCCCGGGGGTGGACTGCCCCGGCGCCTGCGGACACCGAGGAAGCTGAGCTGCTTGCATTATCGAGGGCGCAGGAACGTGAACTTGCGGCCTCATGGAGTCTTTTCCCCAAGGGAAATGGCAGCGTTTCTGAATTTAGGCCTGGTCCCCAGGCAGCAAAGTTAACGTCTCCTTTGTCCCCAAAGACTTCTCCCCCACACACACCCTTGCACTTTTGGAGGTCTTAATCTGACTTGAGGTCACTGAGTTCAAGCTAGAAGTGAAAGCAGGCCCGCTGTAAACACCTCTTAGCTCCCCAGTTTTTTTGCCCCGACCTTCACTATCAGGACGAAAAGCCAGATGCAGGTCACAAGGGGCCACCGCCTGGCACTGCTGTGACCGTCCTAGCACGCACCTTGGCAGGTACTCTTAGAGAAGGTAGCCCAAGGTGGCACATTTTGGGCACGCATGGTTTCAAAGCCCCTTTGGAATTTCAGCAGATTCTGTAATCAAGTTCAAAGGAGTAAATCATTAGGGCTTACAAGGAATTTTTTTCCCCAGAATGTAAGATGTTTTCCTTTTGTTGGGTTTGGTTTTTTACTTTGCATTCAAAACTTAAACCTGGAGAAACAGTCAAACATATAATAGACCCTAGGAGGATAGCAGTGTCTTTTCTACCTTGAAGATGTGTCTGAGGTTGATATTTAGAGAGGAATCTGAACTGAGCAGCGTGATGTGATCTGTCACTGCTCAAGCACCTGGTTATTGAAACCTCACCTAGGCAGTTTCGCAGGCCGACAGACTAGACAGGCTAAGTGTAACTTGGCTTTTCTGAAACCTGGGTAATCCCCCCCAAGCCCAAACGTTTCCCTGCCCCCTTTCCACTGCTGGAGAAAGATTTAGCAGGTGTTAATATGAGAAAGGAGAAGAAAGTCATTGGGAGGAAAGGAAAGAAGAAATTCAGTTGGTGAGAAGTAGAAATATTCAGAACAAGATGATTAAACCCATTTCTTTTTTTGTTTGTTTGTTTGTTTTTAAGATTTATTTATTTCTGCATACAGAACTGGGGTACAAGCCAGAGGTTCAGGGGCGGTGAGAGGATTCACCAGAGACAGAGCAGGGAGCAGAACAGGCAGATCATGGAAATACACTGCTGAGCCCAGCAGTGGGCGGGTGAGGAGAGGTCTGCCTCTCCATGTGGTCACCTCCGGGGCAGGTGGGGATCGAACTCAATGCTGTGCTTTAACCTGCTGCGCCACCAGGGAGGGCCACCCATTTCTTTTTAGGTGAAAATCACCCATCATTCTATTTTTAATCAGATTTCATTGCACAACTTCCTTTTCTACTTTAGAGTAGTGACACTCCTAGATGATCAATTTCTTAATGTTCTAAAGTGAAGGATATTTCTTAAAGAGTGTGAATTCTGTTTTCCAAATTTTAAGAAAGGTAATAGTGTCCCTGGATTAAAGGACATATTTCAAATAATGTCTTGCACTCATGTCTCCAGTCCCCACACCCCAGGTGTTAGTTCTCAAGTCTGTCATTGTGTGACATCCAAGAAACAAACTTGGTCCCATGCCCTTATTCATCATTACAATTGTTCTTCTTTGGGCTTCTTGTAATTTCTACTATATGATGCAATAATTGACACTTTTTTATTTTTTTTTAGAATTCTAGAGCAGAACCGGCATTCAAATGTTCTTTGTTTTGATTCTGAATTTAAACAAACATTTCTTTAGCATTGAAGAAAATACAGCAAATCCAGGCCAGTAGTGAGAGACAAAAATATCTAAATAGTGTAACTGTGCAAAGTTCAAAATAAGCTTACTAATTTTTATGCTTGGAAATAAGCTGCACCTGCCAGTCATGTTTCTGTACCTAAGACAATGAGTAGGTAACTTCTTTGGTAATATTGTTTCCGATGGATGCAAGAATAAAGCCCAAATTTAGTTTATGAGATATCTGATTCCACTACTCCTGTCTGGCAGGGTTTTATTTTCATTTTGTTTTGTTTTGTTTTTGTTTTAATTAAGATAACAATTGTTTTTCTATTTTCTAATTGTTGTTTAGAGTTTTGATTTCCCAGAAAGTCTGGATAAATAGGAGACTTTGAAGTCATGATGCTCTTGACTTGCATAGGGTATACAGACCTACTCCTGTTTCTAAAATTCCAATATTTTGTAAAAACAATGCAGTGGAATTGAGCTCTAGAGGCAAAGAGAGCTGTCCAGAACTTCCAGAGTAGTTCAAGGGTCCTTACCAGTGGAGGTCCAGGGGATGGGGGGTACAGGGAGTGAAGGTGTTATTTTATAGAGCATTTTTTTAATGCTCATCTTTTTTTTTTTTTTTTTTAATTAACCTCTAGCTGAAATTCAGTGTTTCTTTAATGGTAACTAATCAACAAACCACAGGAAAATTACTAATGCCAACAATTTTGTGACAACTATTTTATATTACATTTAAAATACTGATGAGATTTGAAAACATTCTTCTCATCACTACAAGAATAGGGCAGTGTGGTGCTCTGCTTAGGTCTTCTTATTTGACACATTAATTAAGAATCATGTCTACCACACATTGTTTTTAGTGGTTGTGTTAACCTATTTTTTAACCTTTGTAACCACCTTTGTGTCTTACGTGGTTTCCTAGGTGACCACTGTAAATTTTTTGCTTGTGGTAGACATTTTGAGAAGGTACATGTAGCCTTTGCTGGACTTCCATAGGATTTGAAAGAAAAACGTTCAGAACACCTTCTCTTTCACAGCACTGAGCCAGAAGCTACTCTGTGCTCCTTGGGGCTTATGTTCTAGGAAGACAGTAAAATATGTCAACAAATGTTATAAAATTGATGGTGATAAGGGCTTCAGAGGAAATCCAGCAAGGTTACTTCATCATGAGCAAGCAAAGGGCGCATGACAGCACCTGGCCTGGCCAGGGGAAACTGGGCAGAGAGTTGAGTTCACAGGGGGAATTAGGGCCGCCTCACCAAGGCCATATAGGTCATGATTAGATTTTACCCGAATGTATAGGAAGCAATGGAAAGCTTTAAGGTGAGGAAGGACGCATGGCATTACAACTTGTTTTGCAAGGATGACTGGTCGTTGCCTGGAGAGAAGCAGAGGGGGTGTAAAGGTGGTCCAGGCAGAAGGTGGTAGTATGGATTAGAATGTTAGCCTGCTGTACTGCTGTCCAGTAGCATTGCTACTAAAGCCTGTACTAGAGCACAGGGCCAGGGACCTTCCTTCGTTAACCCCTCTACTCCTGTGGCAATCAGCAAATACATCCTCAGTCACCTCAGGCCTCCTGGCTCAAAACCAGCTGGTGACTTCCACCTCACTAGCTGAAAAAGCCCAGACATGTGCTGGCTTGTCCGCACGCTACCTGGCTGCCTCCAGGTTGGTCTCCCTGTGGCTTTGCGTGTTCCAGGACTCTGTCCCACTCAGGACCTTTGCATTGCTGGCTCCCCCTACCTGGACAGCTGTTCCCTCAGATAGCAACATGGGTTATGTCCTCCCAGCCTGTAATTCTGACAGATACCACCTTCTCACGAGGCATGCCCAATCATGCTCTATTCAAAAGTAGAATTCTGCCTGACCCACCATTTCTCCTCTTCCCGGCTTTCATTTTCAGTAAGCGATTGCCTGCCATGCCATAAAGTTGAATTGTATTGTGAGTATAAGCTCCATGGAGGCAAGAATTGTTTCACTGCCATATCCCCAGAGCCTCCCTGCCTTACAATAAGCTCTAAAATGTTTTAAGTTAAAGGGGTGTTTGCTCTGTGCAGAGCCCCGTGTTACCATAGGATGACCTAATCCCTGCTTCGAAGGGCAGGGAAAACTGACAGCCAGAAGTGGGGAAAAGTGACTGGGAAAGGGGTATGGAGTTTTTGAGCTACTTTAGGAGACTAGAGCTAGGTCTTTTAAAAAAGTATCTATATATACATAAGGAGGGCCCTCCCTGGTGGCACAGTGGGTTAGAGCACAGCACTAAGAGACTAAAGCCACTTCCGCGTGAGTTCGATTCCCGCCTGCCCCGGAGGAGATCCACATGGCATGGCAGACCTCTCCTGACCCGCCTGCTGCTCCCCTCAGCAGTGTACTTCATCACTCTGCCTGTTCTGCTCCCTACTCTGTCTCTGGTGAATCCTCTCACCCCCTCCCTCTGCCCCTCTGGCCTGTACCCCAGTTCTGTATGCATAAATAAATAAATCTTTTTTAAAAAGTAATATATACACATAAGAAGATACACACATATGTATATCTACAAAGAGACATGTATATGTATATATGCCTCATATGTGTGTATATCCTTGTATAAAGAACAGAATTGTCTCCTATAGAGGAAAATCAGGCAAGCAACACAAGATAACGTATAAAAGTGTGCGAATAAGACAAGCAATCTGCCTGTGAATCAACCAACCCAAGCAGGACACTGTTTGGTTGACTTAGTATCTGACACCAAACAGGTAAGATTTGGTTTGGTTGACTCGGGACTTGATATAAATTGGAACATGCTACATAGGGCTCGAAAAGCAGGTTTGGGCAAGTCAGAGCTACGTGACTCGAGTGCACTAATGTGATTTGAACTCTAGTCATCAGAAAGCCAAACCATGCTGCTTCCTGTCCCTTGAATGAGCAGCTTAACTTCGCTGAGCCTGCATGTTGTTAGGTACCGCCCCACAACAACTGCACAAACTTTGCAGGGTTGTTATAAAGGTGAAATAATCTTGCCTCGTCTCTCCACAACTAAATAATCCCCTACCTAGTGACCAGAGGGAGTTGTTTTTAACTTAAGAGGGAAACGAGTGATGCTTTTTGTTGTTGTGTGCTAAAATACACATGACATGGCATTTACCTTCTTCACCCCTTTGTGATTACAGACAGTAGCCCCATTATTGTGCCGCCACCACTACTGTCCAGCTGCAGAACTTTGCTATCAGTCAGAGGGAATTTTGAAGTATAAATTATTACTTCAAGTCACTCTGCCCAGATAGTTCCCCATCACGCTTAATAAAAAACCAGTGTCCTTACAAGACCCTGCGGTATCTGCCCCCATCCGCACTGCCTGGTCCTTTCCACACAAGTGACCGTTATTGTCCCTCACGCCCTTTAAATGGCTGGCTGTCCCCTGCCTAGAAATTTGTTCTCCCAGAAATGCCCAAGGATTGCTCCTCGGCCTACAACAGGGTTACTCGTTCTCACCAGGCGTCACTTCCAGAGAGCCTTTGACCAGCCATGGGGAGTGACCTCCTCTCTGTCTTCTGTCCCTCGCCCAACGTCATGCTGAATGTCTACAGATTCATTTGTTGGCTGTCTGCTGACAGGTGAGCTGCATCAAGGCAGGGGCCTGGGCTGTTTGTTCCCTGCAGAGTCCCCAGCTCCTAGAACATTGCCTGGCACCTTATAATTGCTCAGTAAATATTTGTGGAAATGAAGTAGGCAAAGTAGCTGACCCAGGAGTTGCTCTTCAGAAACCAGTTCCTCCCCTTTCTTTGGGAGTCCACAGAGCCAGTGCTGCTGACTTTCTGCTCAGCTCCAGGAGCCAGCCTAGACCTGGGCCCAGTTCTAAGAAATGTACCTGAGAAGACCTTGGAAAACAAAGGCCAAGATTGTAGTGCACCTGTGCACAATCTGAGGAAGAGAGCTTTTGAGCCAACAGAAGGTCAGAACCAAGACTAGCAGGATCACTGAGAGAGAGCATATCCAGCCATAGAGTTTGTAACTGTTATTGGGAGAATTCAGTGGGTTGCTGTGGAATGAACTGATGAGATCTGTCAGCCTGGGTTTGGAGGGAAGATTCCTCATAGCTTGCAGATATTCTAGATCATCCAGAAGAGAAGAGAAGCCCTCAAGTTTGTGTTTAATCTTTTTGATTCCAAGGGTCTTTGGCACAATCAAAGTGGGGGGCTTATTGTATATGCATGATATATATGTGTCACAAGGAAGGTCAGGTGACAGCCAACATTTGCAGTCAGAAAAGCTTTGACTTGGTCGGACACAGAGAATAATAGCAGGCCAAGTGTAGGTAAACGGCCCACAGAGTGAATCTGTGGTAGGCCCTTGTGTCTGATCGATCGGTGATCTTGTTTCAGCAAGCCAGCGTCTTTTACATTACATTGGCATTGTTCATTTCAACTTGCCTTGGCTTTGTGGGAAATTTGTCCAGTTTTTAGCTGTTGACTGCAAAATAGACTCTGTCCTTGTAGGAGAGTTGTAACCATGAGGAGTGAATATTTAAGTTGCATGAATTAATATCTATCTTCGAATTGTGGGTCTAGAAAAATGTTCAGTCTGAAGAGCTCTGAGGTTTCTTATGGCCTTGAGAGCCTGTGATTTGCACATCTTGTTTAACAGTGGTGTGGTGATTGCAGCTAAATTGCTTGGGATTTAGAAATCATGTGCAGACCTGGCTGTGTTAGCACAACCTAGGTGCCCTCTGCCGGGGCCCAGGGTCCTCTACTTTGGAACTTGAGCCCAATTCTGTTACCCAGAGATAAGAGAAGTTGCTAATTGAGCCTCAATCTAAGCTGAACGAGGTCAGTTGGGTTCTTGTTGACCTCAGGAGGCCTCTTTTCCCTAGGAGTTAACCAAGCCCATCATTTGAAACAAAATTTTTAAAACCTGAACACCTATGGAATTGAGGTTCTATTAAAAAGCAAAACTAGGCCCTCCCTGGTGGCGCAGCGGGTTGAGGCGCAGCACTGAGAAGCTGAAGCCACTTTTGCACTAGTTCGATCCCCGCCTGCCCTGGAGGAGATCCATATGGCGCGGCAGACCTCTCCTGACCCGCCAGCTGCTCCCCTCAGCAGTGTACTTCGTCCATCTGCCTGTTCTGCTCCCTGCTCTGTCTCTGGTGAATCCTCTCACCCTCCGCATCTCTGGCCTGTACCCCAGTTCTGTATGAGTAAATAAATAAATCTTTTAAAAAAAATTTGGAATGCTCATTTAAAAAAAAAAATAAAACGGAAAAAAAATCTTAATAAAAGCAATACTTTACTTCGGAACCAGGAAAAAGAGGAAAGGGAAACTGGAAATAGACTTCCTGCCTAGTGGCTTAAAGTGGACCTATACAAAATTCTTCATAAAAAAAACTAAGATAAAAAAATAAAAAGCAACAAAAAAGATGTAAATAACAGGAAACACCCCACCAAGGATCTACAAGCTCTTCCCTAACTTGCTTTTCCTTAGCAGGTGTTTCTCTCACTTCTACATCTTGTCCGTGCTGTGGAATGGCCTCCTGCTCTGGTGCCTTGCTCAATCTCTGTTTCTGGGAGCGCCTTTTCCGAGCTGGCTTTATGGTTTGCTCAGAATTCTTGGGGCCGTGCAGTTCCAAGGTAAAGACTCCCCCGGCTAATTACAACCATTGCATGCTGTTCCTGTCTTTCCTGCCTAGAGCGGGGTGGTTCTCCAAATTCCATAGGCGCTCTGGGGTTCCCCTCCCCGGGTGCCTGGGAAGCGGAGGGTGAGGGCATGGTTCCTAGCCAGGTGGCCAAGGAGATGCCCCTGCCCTGCTCTGAGCCATGGAGGAGCAGAGTCCACTCGCTCTGTTCCTGACTTGCCAGCGAGTGCTACGCCTTGTACAGGACTGGCTGTTCTCCCCCGATAACTAATACAGACCTTCTACTCTTAGAGGGAAAAGATTTTAGGATCCCTCGGGCCTGCTCTGAAACATTTATCATTTATATATTTCCAGCCTAAATCATGTCTCAGAACTCCAGAAACTTGACAGAAAATTACTTTTTTGGCCCCCCATGAAAAATGTTGGCTACACTGTAAGGCTTTGGATATATAGTAAAATTAACTGTAAATGGTTGTTAACCAGAAGATTACAAAACAGCCTTTAAATCTGCTTCCCTCTGCCTCAGATAGACAAGTTTTTACACTAAGGAATCAAAAGCAAACACCATAAAGTGCCCTCAATTAATGTCAGGCAGCTGGTGAGGAATAGAATTAGAAACAAATTGTTCTGGCTTTCTCTGTTCTTTGTTCCAGCAGCCAAACCATTGGCTTCCGAGGAACAATCCTTTTCTGTCTAACCAGAGGAACTTGTTGCAAAAGATGACAGTCAAAAGGGAAAGCTATGCAAATTCTGTTTGGGAGGGAGGATTCCTCACACAATGAAACTTCATCTCTTCACCTGTTTACAGTTGGGCTGGCTGTGAGTGTAGGGTTGGGAGACTGATTGTGAGGAGTCTTCGCTCTCCTGTCCCTGTCCCTCTTCTGCCTCGGTGGGTGCCTGGACAGGTCTCTTGTCTCCCTTATTAGGTGGAGTTGCTCAGAGGTCATCTGGAGCTCTTCCTGCACCTCTTCATCTAGCTACGAGTGCCAGAGACCCACAGACCTGGCCTGTGACCCTTTCACAGTGATATCCATGTGGCCAAATGGCTTTCAATGATGAGGCAGTGTTAGTAGACCTGGTTTGTCCCAGCTCCATCAATAGCTTTCATTGTAACGTTCAGCCAATTTCCTTAACTTCACTGGCCCATTTTCCTCATTGCTGAAAAAGAAAGAAGGAGGTAGACCAGGTGATTTCCGGAGCCCTTTACTACCTACCTCTCATCTTGTGTAACAATCTCTTTAACATAATAACATAGAAGAAACATTAACTTTGGAAGAGAAAATATTGACTGTTGCATTCTGATTGTAGGGGGTGAGCTGGCACTGTCTGCGTTCTTAGTACTAGTATTTCTGTGGCTACACAGCGTTCAAAGACTCTTCGAGTGCTTCTACGTCAGTGTCTTCTCCAACACAGTGATTCATGTCGTGCAGTACTGTTTTGGACTTGCCTATTACATCTTCGTGGGCCTAACTGTGCTGAGCCAAGTGCCCATGGACGGCAGATATGGTGAGTGGCCTCGGCCTGCGGACCGAGCCCCAGGGTCTGTGAGGTAACCTTCAGCTGCAGGCCTTCACCAGCATTGTGGAAGACTGGACGCCAGGGACTCGCCACCCTAGTAGATTCAGAAAGTCAGTGTGCCTGGGTACCTCCATTAACCGTAACTGCCACAGCCTCAAAGACAAAGTGGCTACCTTCAGTACAGCTTTAGTAAAGGCAGTAAAGTGGGAAGTGTTCTGGAGTCTAGGTTTAAGGATGAAGAAATGGGCGTGGGGTTTCCTTCTGCGGCTTTCCTCCAGATTGAGTCTGTCAAGGGTTGAACCGGAAGCAGGGTACATGTAAGAAGAAGAGAAAGGGGCAACACAGTTGCCTCACCAAAGCTTGCCTCCTGGGGTGCTTGTGGGGTGGGAGAGGATGGGAAGTGGTCATGTGGTGAAAATCACTGATAGCCAGCAGAGTTGGGGGGTGGCCTGGCTCATGGTGAGTAGTTGTGTTGTGAAGAGGGAGTAGGAGCCATTTGGTGCCATTTAGTTCTAGTATAAGTTATATATATATATATATATATATATATATATATATATATATTTCAAGTAAAGCAGCCTCAGAGGGGAGGATGAAAAGTACTGTGGTAAATCAAATGTGTGCCTTCCCTTTTCTCAGCTCTTACTAATCAGGAAGAGGGAAGGGAAGCGATGACCTTTGCTTTAGGAGGAGGCAATGAAGGTTGTTTTCAAGGGGATTGATGAAGGTTTGGGTATATTCTTTTTTTTTTTTTTTTTTTGTAAGAACAATATATACTTAATATGAAGAATTCAAGGTATTTTATGTAACTGAAATGAGTTTTTAGTGCTGAGATAACTTCACCTTGCAGCCACATTATCTGTCAGTCCAGATAATTGTTTAAAAGAGAATAAGCCAAAAATGGACTGATTTATGCTAAGCCCCACCAAGAGTTAATACCGAACCTAATTGCAGTTTCAGCCTTTCCCTTAAGCAGGGTTTTACACCTCTCCATTAGGAATTATAGCACGAGGAGGCCATCTACATGGGGAGGGTGGGGATGAGGGCCCTCCATGTGGTCTCCTAAGAGAAGGGGCCTTGCATAAAATAATCATTCTTTTCTTTGCTGGCTGCCTTGTCTCATCCTGTCTGAGGCAGGAACACCTTCCATTTACTCCACTCCTTGCAGTACCATCCTACTAGCCAGGTGCCGTGCTGCCTCACTCATGAATCACTGACTAAAACCAATGTTGTTTTCTAAGACATGGTAGGTTAAATCTCTTGTGCCTATTTTCTGTGATGGCTCAGTGCTTCCGAACGTTGCCCTGTCCATCCTGCCCGCTGAGACTGAGGCCTTGATGGTTCCCATCATCACTGAGGGAGCTTTCCCCTCAAGTTTGACTTTACACTCAGGTGCCCCTTGCATGTCATCTCTCCACTGCTGCAGTGCACCCGAAGGCCTCCATGGCTTGAGGAATGCCGTTAAATCCAGCCATTTAACTAGTATAACAGTCATCTCCATAAAAGGAGGCGGTACTGAGTCCCACCCACTTAACTAGGGGCAGAACTGAGTGGCTCAGTGAAACTGTGTGAGATGGAAGGTAGGTGGGTCAAGGAGAGGAGAAGGGTGTACTTCCTTCTCAGCTTTAGACTCGCACTAGGGACTTGGGGGACTTGGAGACCTATGGAGGAAAGACATGTAGGAACACTGGAAAAGACCATTGGGAGACTGGCAGTGGCAGCCAGGATCTTCATCTGTACTTTGTTCTGTTTACCCCGACTTTCCCAGCTCCTATCAGCTCACCCCCTGCCTGTGGTTCCCCACCAGAGGAAGGTGCCTTGGACCTATGGCATACTTTCAGGCCTCAGTGGCCCTGCGTTGGGCCAGCCCTGTTGAGCTGTGCATTACCCATGAGGGGGTGGTAACTTTAAGAATTTTATTAGGAAACTATTCTTTCTTCTCTTCATTCTCTATGCATACTAACTTTATTTAAAATGTCTTCACAATGAGAGTTTGTCTTTGTGCTCACAGGTAGCCAGACCCCTTTTGAGCATGCAAGTGTGGGGGTCCTGGTTGCATGTTAATGTTAGCATCTTTCCATCTAATTCCTCTGAACTTAAAAGTCAGTCCCCCCCCCAAATTTTTCTGTTGTGGCATTCACATGTACCCCTGTAATGGTGCAGGCTGATTTTCCACCCACAGGTGCTGGTAAAGCACTTTGGCAACCCACTAGCTTTCTATCTGTTGGTTGTCATCAACATTACATGTCTTTTCTGAAGGTACCTCTACTGGTGAGACCCCAACCTCTGTCTGTCTCTTGAATTTGTAGTCACAAAAAGTCAGCCTAGGGACGTTAGAGCTCACTTGCGACATTAGGGGGAGAACTGGCTTCGGCATTTCATTACATTAGGACATTTGCTAGCCCCAGTGGGAGAAGTACTATGGGCTTAAGAGCTAGGTGGGCCTGAATCTGAGTTCTGCTGCAACTAACCTCTCTGGGCCTTAGGACCTTCCTCTCACTTGGGATACTGATGTCAGAGGTTCTTGTGAAAGTGAAAAGTGAGCACTTCAAACACCACTCAGATCTCACATCTCGGTCTCCAGGGAAGTCTCAGACACTCTTTCCCAACATACTCCCTTACACTGCACTATTCCCTTTTCTTCAGAGCACCTTCTCTACCTGAAATTATCTTACGAATTGTTTACCTATTGTTTCTGTCCTTTGCCACTGGATTGTGAGTACACGAGCACTGGAATCTTGCCTTATTTCTCCTGTGCCTACAACAGGAAATAAGGCCAGGCTCAACGGACACGCGTAAATGACAACTAATATGTGACCATGTGAATCATTAAATACTCAAATTAGGCCCTCGGAAGGGAATGAGCCTCCCACCCACCTCCCCTTTCCTGCAGTGTAATTCTGAGTGATGATGGGCCTTTTCCCTTTGTAGGTCATTTCCCCGCTAGAGTAGGGGACTGGTGGTACATTAACTCTCCGGCAGCTGCTTCAACTCTTAGTCCTTTAGAATGACTTGCTCCTGAAGCCCTTCAGATTTAAAATTGGTTTTTCATATTTTTAACTGATACAAATAAGAACTTTTAGTTAAACAGGTAAACATAATAAAGACGAAACTATACTAGATTGCTTATACATTGTTAGGAAGAATTTCTAAAAGAAGTGAACACAGGGAGGCTGGACAGATGCTCACTGAGGCTACTTCCAGGTACCCATATGGACAAGCGTGATCCTTGGTTCTCTTACCTGAAGTGGCTTTTCGGGGCTCCCACTTGACTCCAGTGCCTCAGGCGCTTCCTTCTTGTCAGTGGACAAATAAGTTTCTTCAGCCAAGACCCTGATGAGCCTAATAGCTTTCTGCTTTCCTGAAGCCAGTGTTCTGCCCCCCAGTCATTTAGTCCCTGAATTCTTCCTGGTAGAAAGAGGAATATGGTATTTTGAGTGTTTCTTCTAAAACTAAGTCTCTCTCTGACAAGGGTCTCACTAATCGGAAAGGGATGCTGTTTTGGTTTTCACCTTGCAATGTGCATTTCTCCTCTTTTTTAAAAATAATATAATAGTTTATTTTTACATCTTTTGCCATCTCAGTTGTAGTCCCCGTGGGCTTCCAATCACCATATCACCCATGTACCATCACCATTTCCCTCCCCCACCGGTTTTGATCCCATTCCCTATTCCACCCCCATAAAATGTCTCTGGTATATAGTTATTTATTATTATTATTTTCTCACCTGGTCCTTTATACTTCTGCTATG